GGATGGGGTGGGGGAAGGCTTGTTTAATTTGTCCCTTGAGATGTAATTTTAATAGCAATCCTGGGGAGGGGGGGAAATCACTTAAAACTATGTACCTCACATAAACTCATAGCAAAGTAAGAAAGTTTCATGCACACAAAACTGATCAACCCTGACATGATGTCCACTCATAATCCCTTAAAACAGCATGCTTGATTTTTCCCATTTATTTTTATAGCATTCAGAAATATCATATTTCTTTTGACATACTTCACAAAAGAACTACATATAATGTATCCTATACTTTTTAAGAACTGAGGCATTTTTTCATAATGTACTGAAGGATTTAGTTTACATGTTGTTTTCCTAGAACTCCTGCAGAACCAAGTAAGTAAAAAGCATACCAAAGGAAAGTAAAATACTTAAGAGGTAGATGAAAAATATTTTTTTTTTCAGAGAGATGGTAAAAATGTCTTCTTCAGCTTAGTCACCCCTTTGCCAAAGGGTGCACATTTACTTAATGACTATATGACAACATAAGATACACACTCATTTGTATCTAAGAACCCTGCAAAGTCAGTGGGAATCCCCTCATGCTGACATGAAGGAACTTTCAGGATCAAGATGTTAGTTGGCATTTGTGCTTCTTACAGAAAAATAAAGACGACAAAAAAAAAACACACAGTAAATTTTACTTACACAAGCAGAGGCAGTTAGGAGACACTAGACAATTATACATACCAAAAGTGTCAGGGCTTCAGGATTATTTTTATAACACGCTACAATTATAGGTGTATTCCCAGCTTCTCCTTCTAAATTAACATCTGTACTGCTGTGCTGAACCAATATCTAGATATTTAAAAAAATAAAGTGTTGATTATCATGCATTTAGAGCATTGTTGTTGCTGCTGTTTCTGTCCTTGACAATTTTAATGAAATGCTGCTAATAAAATTTAGCTTCCTAATAAAAAAAACTTTTGCATAAAAATGTCAACTAAGTCTACTCAGTGGAACACAAGAAAGAAATTACACTCTCAGCATAAATGTCACAGGAGAATTCTGTGGATAAACCCAGCTTCTGAAAGTAGATTAATCCTTTTTGGGGAGTCAGAGGCTGACCATCTCAGCTATTGTGTAAACACTTCAAGGCCTGTGTTTTTATCAGAGATAAGTCACCTGTATATGCATACTTATGCACTTGAGAGTTATGCATGTAGCTAGTTAAATTGTGCACACAAGTAATTGTTCAGCCGTTAATAAATATATGTATGGATTTTGTAAAGGGAAGGGGGAGGCAGGATCAGCAACCAGAGCTGCAGGGGTGGCTGCATTTCTCCTCTCTCTGCTCAGTGGCACGTTCCCTCTACTGCCATTCCCCTCTTCCCTTGTCTCAATTGCCACTATCCCTTTCTGTACCAAGAGCAGGAGAAGCTCCAGAGCCACTCCTGTCCCACTTCAGCTAGGCTGCACAAGAAGCTGGGGTCAGCTGAAGATAGTGGTGGTGGTGGGTGGCAAGTTCCCCCTTCCTAAGCCTGTTTCTGGGCTGACAGAGGGCACCTAGGGGGACCCAGTAGGAAGGAGAAACCCACCCACTGCCACCACTGTCACTGTCCCTGGCTGAGCCAGGCTTCCTATGCAACCCGGATGGAGAGGGGCATGAGTGGCTCTGGAGCTGCCCCTGCCCCTGGGTCAACCAGGGGCAGTGGAGACAGGAGAAGGCAAGTGGGGAGGGGAGGATTAGAGGGGAGAAGACATGCCACTGAGTTTCTTACCTGATTCAGGGACTTAAAAATGGTCCCTGGCTGCTGCTCCAGTATGACCACACCACTGCAGCCACTTGGAATCTTTCCTTGAATGAATATATATTTACTTGGACTGTAATCTTACCTTAACTATTTCATTTTGGAGGGACTGCACAGACATATGTAGAGGAGCCATCATATTGGAGTTCAGGATGTTTGGGTTAGCTCCTTTGCTAAGAAGTAATTTAACACTCTCAATCTGGTTTTTCTTTGTAGCCCAATGCAGTGGGGTATTTCCAGCAGAGTCTGTTGCATTTAGTACTAAATTAAAGAACGGAAAAAAAAGTTAACACTACAATAAGCATATAGCTAGTAAATGTTCAGATGGATTTAATTGAAAATTGATTTTCATGTGAAGTGTCACATTTTCATTGGCAGTTTAGTTCTGCAACACTGGATTAGTTTAACTCCATCATCAGTTGTTACAGACTCCTTCCTGCTGCTGCTTCTAAGCTGCCCTCCACAAAATAAATTGGTGCATTTGATTATTATGCTAAATCCAGGAAGGATGAAAGGAAGAAAGGACCGTATTAAAAATGTCAACATGCTACTGTGAAGAGAGCAAGCCCAATATGTTTAGGATATACCAATGACCCTTTTATTATTGACATCTGAACATGAAGGCTGTAACCTATAAAAGCGTTTTTCCTTTCTGAATGAGGTAGTCTAAAAGGTACCACCCTGTCCTGTTTTCTGCAATACTTAATATGAAATGGTAACAGAATTAGGGAGACAGATGAAATTATGAGTTGCTTTCTGTCCTATTCTTTTTCTCCCTTTCTATCTTTTCCCCACTCTGTTCTTCCATGCTTTGTTAACGTGTTGTTGATGAACAGTTCAGAGGAAGGAAATGCATGGTAAAAATTCTTGTAGGAGGTAAATAAAGTACTATCCTTTACTAACATGCAGAGCAAAGGACAAATCTCCAGTTGGTGTAAATTAGCACAACCCCACTGAACTACTGAACTAATTCGTATCAGTGACCCTGGTCCTGGACTGGTGGAGGGGGATTGGGTGTTGGCGACTTTGTAGTAGCATATGAAATTCAAAATATGAAAGTCAAACTTCAACACAAATTATCAGAATTGAAACAATAACCAGACTGGTATGCTGAAAGTATTAACAAACCAAAAAGTTTTAAGATATAATCAAACTTGGAAGTCAGGGACTGACTTCATCTTACCATTTGTACAGTCAACCCCACATCTACACCTGGAGTTCCTCGGTGCTTCCACAAAGCAAATAATAAAGTTAATAATACCTTTATCTATGTTTTTTCTTTCCCTAAGGCCTACATCTTTTCTATAAATAAGATCTCCTACAGACTAAGTTCTCCAAAGTCCAATGTTGAGCAAATGCTTACTCCTCTGCAATAGGACATCATTATGCATTAAAAAGTAGGTGTGTAAAAAGGGACCGCAGGAAGTCATATAGTCTAACTCCCCTGCTCCAGGCATGATCATTCCTCATCATGAGAAAATTCTTCCTAATATCCAACCTAAAATTCCCTGACTGTAGCGCGAGTCAAACCGCACCTCATCCGTTGCAGCTACAAAGAAAAGTCTATCTCAATCTTACAATCACCCTTCAGGTAGTTGAAGACTGTTACCAAATCTTTCCTTGATCTTATGTTCTTCAGAGTAAATAATGCCTTTTCTTTCAGCCTTTCCTCATAAACCATATTTCCTAGACCTCTAATCATGTTCATTGCTTTCACTGGACTCTTTCTTATATGTCCACAGTTTTGTTTGAGTGAAGGGCCAAAAACTGGACAAAATAAATAATAAAAAACCTACAAACTTATATTGCCTTTATGTGCCTTAGCTATTGGCTCATGAAGTCTGTATTCATCAATGTAAGTGATTTGGAATGGACAAGGTATGTGTATTTGTGTTTTGCATAGTGCCAAGTATATTTTCCCCCTGGATATTAGATAGGTCTTTTGTTCTGATGTATGCTTAAAGAGTAGCAAGCATATTAAATGGATCTGTTCATTAAATTCGCCTGATAATTTTATCTGCTTAAAGTAATTTTCAACAATGAGAAATTTTTCAAATCTATATTTGGAATGTTTTCATGTGGAAAGATCCAGATCACTGAATAGTAAAATTTAAGCACTGAAACATTAAAATGATTTATTCAGGAGTCCAGTACTGAAAATGAATCTTCTAACAATACCATGAAGTGTGGAAATTGATTATTGCATTGTCCATCTGCATCATAATCATGATGTATTGTCTCTCTCACATTTGAACACCTGAATTAAAAATGAATCACAAACACAGTAAACTTAATAAAAAAACATTCATTTCTCAATAGGTGCTGATTTGGTGTCTCCATACTTACTAGAAGGGCCAAACTGGCATTTCCTCATAAAAAGGGGTGTTAGAATACCAATGATCCAAATCATAACTGATATACAGGAAGAGATGTGACAGGCATTTTCAATTTTATATGCTTTAGACCTGTATTATTAAAGTTCATTTTCAGGGACATTAACTTGTAGTAAAATTATCAAAACAGTGTTAATAATATCATGTTTTAATGGTAGAAATAGCAGTAACAACTCCAAGCTCCACTCTAAGTAATACTTTTTATTTCGGGAACTAGTTTTTCAAAGTTATAGAAAATAATTCATCAACAGTTACCTTCATATGAAGAATCATCTATTATCATCTGCATCAATTCAATCTGACCTCCTTCTGCTGCATGATGCAATGGAGTGGCATGTAGTTGATCCACTTTGCTAAGTCCAGACCGATTCTTCTTAATGAAACTCCGTAATCTGCAAGTACTTCCATCTGAAATCACCTTATTTTGGATACAAATATTATAATGTTCTATTTTTAGTAGACCGTTTTATTAACTTCATATGCTAAAAGTAGCTCTGTATATTTCCCCTGTATCTTATCAGTATCAAAAGCAATAGGCCAAGAGTAAGAAAAATGTAAAGAGAGTAAAGAAAAACAAACCC